ATGCTTTCCTTAGTTGGTTGTTTCTATGAAAAGCCTCTGAGCTACTGGAAAGGAAATCAGCACACCTGTGACTTACAAATGAGGAGAAATGGAGGCGAGAACAGAGAAATCATAATTTGTCACAGTAAATCTTTTCACATCTCTAAGTCATATGACATTTCTCAGCATATACCATGCACCCCAAAACATGGCCATTTTATTCTGTGTTGTATGACCTCTTTCAAAATGAAAAGAATGCATTTTGGTGCAAAGATAATTGGCAAGCCAAACTGTAAATTATATTTGCTACAGTTATACTGAAAATTTACAGCTTTGCTCAGCTACTAGTTTGTCAGTGAAGAGATAGAAGCTGGTAGGTTGGGTCATAAATAAATCACTCTAAATGGGCTATTAGCCCTTGGAAACAATAATGTTCTTGTGATATAGTCTGGTAATAAAGTGATCCATGGTACTCCTCAATGTGGTTTTAGTGCTCAATTTACAATCCCAAATATTAGGTGAAGCACTGTTATACTGAATAAAGATATGGCCTTAATATAGATTTTTGATGTTTTTAATAGTCATCACTGATGTTGTTGCTTTTCAAAGGTTGAATATTCCTTGAAAGCTCAATCTAAAAGATCAATTTAAAGGGCTATCTGTTATTCCCAATTGTCCTTGAAATCAGAGGGTATGTCATCCACAATATCTAGAAAGTGATCAAGGATCAGACCATCCTGACTTGTCATTGAAGTGTTGATACTAAACTTGTAAGGAAATAGAAGTATAGCAAGGCATCCCTTCTAGCAGATTCTGATTGATATTAAATGGTGGGATTAAGAATGCTATTCCATACATTCACAAAAGGCACTTGCATTTGTCCATCTGCTATATTTTATTAACATTACTCAACAAAATTAATAATCCCATTTTATGTTAAAATGCGTAGAAGTCATAATTCTCAAATCTGTGTTTGTTCTTTTTTAAGCCAGGTAGTATGATTAAATTAAATAATCTATTTTACTGAAAGGCCAAGTATGCCCTGGACAATCTATCAAATTACATATAATGTTGTGAGATTTTTCAAAACTGTTTCTACAGCTTCCTTACCTTTCCTAGTCCCAATCCTCCTATGACCATATTTTCCTGAAAATATTCACCTTGGGGCTCTTGCTCGTTTATAGATCACTCTTTGGTATTGTCCTGCCACCACCCCAGTGCTATGGGCCAATGGCTTATGGCTAGTATATATATACTTTCTTCCCATGCAATAACGTGTTCCAATTTTGTGGAACTTTGAACCTTTCTTCTTGAGATGCTGATACAAAACTTGTGAGAAAATAAAAGTATAGGGAATAAAAGTATGGCAAGTCATCCCTTCTGAAGGAAAAAAGGATAGCAAGTCATTGACATGTCCTTCTTCTGTGTTATTGTTTGCTTGTCTGTTTTACTTCAGTCATAGCAAGGTTACCGCCCTTTCTGTTACTTGGGAATTGGATATTGCCCTATTGACAATGACATTGAATTAATGTTTGCTTGAGTGTAGAAGACAGTGTGTTTCATTCCTTTGAAAGGTTCTAGTACAGGGCTAAGAATTCCAGTTTTGTATATATGGTAGTATGTCAGGATCTAGAAGAAATTTGAAATGAACAACAGCATAATCCAGTAATTTACCTCTAGATGCCTTTGTGCAATTACAAGGTTTTGATTTGTTGAGTTCTGTGATAGGGCTGAGTGCTTTCAATTATGATATTGAAAAATCTTCAACACACATAGATTCTGACAAATGATTCCTAAAAGTTATGACATTTTACCTGTAAACCCTTAGGGAAGAACTTGGGTAGAGTAGATTCCTTTTCAATAGAAGGTCCCAAGCTCAATCCACAATGTTTCCAGATAGAATAAGAAAAGGATCTTGTCTGAAACTCTGGGGAACTGCTGCCAATCAGCACGAATAAGATAGACTGGTTATAGTAAGGGTCTGTTTCAGTAAAAAGCAATTTCTTATGGTTCTCTGTTAGACTTCTCTTCTGACAATATATATCCATCAACTTTAGCAAATTTTGAAGAAAGGCCTTTTGACTAATCCAGTTGTGTTCCATAGTTGGACTGCTAGGTCATGAAAAATCAAAGAAACCTTTAATATTATCAAAGTCTGAAGTCAAACTTCTTTAGAGGAAGGGCATGATCTGGATATGTCACAATTATTGCAAGCACCTGAATCTTGTCTCAGTTCTGGTACAGAGATATGTGTTTAACATATTCCCAGGAGGCCTAGTCAGTTAGAATTTCATATAAATAAGTAGCATTTACACACCTGTAAGGCAGTCAATGCAAAGTGTTATTCTTAAACAGCAGTCTAAGCCTCAAACTTTCTGATTCAAAAAGTGTTTTCAGCTCCTTGAGCTACCTATTAAAGATAATTCTGCTGCAATTCTATCTTCCTCTCCTTAATGTACAGTATTTTATATAACAAGGAAAAATGGGAAGAAACAGTAAGCATTGCAACTGACTGTGGCATCTAAGATTCTATTTTAAAAAGTCTTTGAAACAATTGCTTGATAAAAGCCACATCTGAAAGTACCAAAAGAGTGAAGAGTTTCAACTGCTTGCAGTATTTATAACTTAGTAGATATCATCAGAACCTTAAAATTGAGAATGTTACTTAGCCTCTTTTTTGTCTATGGTTATCAAAAGCAGAAGAAAAAAATATTATAGAAGCAAAATAAGGAAGAAGTTATTTGATGGGAAGAACAGAGGGAAATTTCTACCTAAGCTATGGTAATTTAGAAATAGCTGCCTCCCCCTTCCCTTTGTTTAAATAAATCCTGTATCCTTTCACTTCTCAATTCAGAACATTGTTAGAAATGAACCATTATTACAAACCAAAGTGAAACTCTAACATCAATGAGTCATACCACAAAGGAAAATGTTTGTGATTGCTTCAGTTCCTTGTTCTTGCTATATGTTAGCTAAAACCACATATTCTTCAGAAAATATAATTATAGTAAAAAGTTGTAAAACTCCAATGAAAATGAAGAGTTTTTACTCCATTATATGTGCTTACATCACCACAGTTTTAACATTGCTTGGGACTGATATTATTATTGATTTTAAATGATCCAGAGGCACAAGCCCAGAACATCCTTTTCCTACAGGTGAAAAGTACAATTCTTTTGGGGTCTAGGGTAAAGCTGTGGATTAAATCAAGTAATGGCTTCTTTAATGGTGGATTTATCAACCCTTTGCAATATTTCTGAACTTTTGCAGAATATTAAGCACATATTTTGTTCTCTCACTTCCTTTCCATTTTCCCCATAGAACTGATGTGCAGAGGTATTATTTTCACATTTTGACTTGCCTCCTTGAATGAAAGATCCCAGCAGAAACACTCGATGGGTTCCTGGAAGGAATATATACTTCTGGCTTTTCTTGAAGGGCATGCAATGTCTGAATTAGGAAGGGCAAGATTATCGCCTTAAACAAAAAAGCAAACAAACACAGGGCATGCTGGTACATATCTCTCCCCTTCATGGCCTGTGAGCTGGCCCATTTGCTCTTGATCTTTCCAGCAATTTCCCTTTTTGTTTCCCCTGCTTCTACTCAGCCCTGCCACCAGTATCCCAGAGTGGCATATCTTTCCAGGCCTCTGAACCCTGATCTTTGCAGCTCTGGCCACTATGTCAGCCACTGCCACAGATGTACTGTTCTATGTGCTTGTCCCTTACAGCATTAAGGGACAGGGTCCCAGCATGGCATATCCTATTGGCCTGCTGTGCCCCCTCCCTCTTCCCAGCACCCTTTCCTTCCCCTCTTTCCCTCCTCTGCTTCCCCTCAGCCTGTACTGCTACTGCCAATATTCACACAAACCATTGTCAAGGTAGCACCTGGGCCTCGGCTTTGTCCCATTACTCCCGAACCATCTCTGTCCAAAACAATCAGATTTCAGTCAACAGCCAACACAAAACAGCTTTGTTTCACTCTGTATACACTTGGGGCACAGACCACCCAAAACTAGCTGTTCTGTGCGTGAAACAGTTTGTGCACAGAATATTCTGTGTAACACCACCCAGTACCCTCAAAACTGGGCTCCTGGGAACTGTCAACCCCTGGAGAGCCATAGGTTGATCATCAGATGAAATCTTTACATATTTAAATATTTTTGGAGATGCATATTTATTGTTGGGAGACCTTCTCACACTTTTTTTAATTATTATTATTATTTCATGCTTTTAAAAATCAGGTAAGAGGCCCAAATGGAGTGTAGAGTGAGGATCACACCAGCCTAGGGAAGCCAAGGTAAAAACCAAAACTGTGAAACGGAGCCATAATATTTGCCCCAGCCTGGTCACAGTTGCTGGATGTTACTTGCTGGCTGGCATTATACTGAAAGGGCACAGCAGCCAAGCCAGAGAATAAAATCAACTAGCTTGCTGACCGTGACTGGCACACCTGCAAAATGGGAAAATAGGGTTCTGGTCAGAGTTACGAGAGAGGCAGAATGGGAATTGGCAACACAGAGAACCTCCTAAAGGACAGAATTACTTTGTGCCAACACAGGAAGAGTTGTACAACATTGATTGTAAGCACCTTATAAAAGCAAAGAAGTTTGAGATTATGTTGGATTTATGTGGATTGTTCATGTGAACAGAGCTTTGGATAAACACAATTATTTGCCAGACAGCATCTTATTCTGCATAGATATTTCAGAAGACAATATAGCTATGCTGTCCCTAGCTTCCTGATAAAGGAAAACTAAGTCTTTAAAAAATCTAGGCAAGAGATACATCTTTTTTTTTTCCCCTATGTATTTCACCTAGGGGTATTCTGCCGAAAAAAAAATTCAACAGATAGGGATTTTCATCTCGCTGTGGCAATTTAAAATTGGTAGCTCGCGTGGAGGAACTTAAAAGAGCCTGCCCCGCTAGCTTTAGCAGTGAGCCAGCCTCTGCTAAACAACTCCCTGGTGTCACCTCCACCTCCACCTCCACTTCCACCTCCACCTCTACCCCACGCTACTTTTTTTTTTTTTCTTCCGTCATCATCACACTTCCTTTCCTTCATTAGTAAGTCGACGGAAATAAGTGATGGCTGAGTGAGTGTAAGGAGGGCTTTCTGATGACTAGAGAATTTTTTAAACATTCTTCAACTTCCTTTGCTCGAAGAAGCCTGAGTAACGCTTTCCTGAGTATCGCCTCTGCTTGGCCTTCCCTCTTCCTGGGGGGAGGGAATCTCCTCTACCCTGGGTGGGCGGCGCTTAACAGAAGAGGCGTCTCCACTAGAGAACGTTCCTATGACGTTAGTCGCCTTATATGGACAGAGCCGCGCGGCTCCGGCGTTCATTCAGATAAATTGCCTCTTCTTCGAAGCGGAATCCCCTGATTGAATTCCGGGAGGGAAATGCGAAGGCACCGAGGGACACAGCACGGTCGCGGCCGGGAGGGGCGTTAAGCAAGCAGGGTGTCAGACCCCAGGTTTTGTTTAAGATAATCGTCAGCCCCGAAAGCGGTGACCCTTGTCGAGGTTGCTCCTGAGAGGGGGAGGGAAGAGAGTGAGAGACGGGGGAAAGCAAGCCAAGATGAAGGTAACGGCTCTTGACTCCCGTCGACTCAAGCAACTGCTACGGAAGGATCCTGCCCGGTGCCTCGTCCTGGACTGCAGACCGTATCTCTCCTATTCGGCCTCTTGCCTCCGAGGATCTCTCAACGTCAACCTCAACTCCGTGGTGATCCGCCGCTCTCATGGGCGGCCCGTGCCTTTACACTTCGTGGTGCCCGACGAAACGGCCCGGGGGCGGCTTCTGCTGCCGCCGGCTTGCCCGGAGGAAAGAGAGGACGGGGACGCGGTGCCGCCTCGGCCGTTGACGGCGGTGGTAGTCCTGGATCAAAACACGAGACACTGGCGAAAGCTCAAGAAGGAGAGCACGGCGCAGATCGTGCTGAACGCGCTGTCCGCAAGCGTGCCGGAGGCCGGAGCCCGGGTCTGCTTCCTAAAAGGTGAGAGGCCGTCGAGGAGAGAGCAGCGCCGCCATGGGGGGAGGCGGGCAGGGGGTGACCGGCCTCCCGTCGAGTGGCTCCTGGGGAGCGCTGCTGCAGGGGACTGGAAGCGCGAATCTTGCTAACCTAGTCCCCGCGAAAGCTTCGTCTGGATCGTCAGCCGTACTCGAGCAGATGTGCGCGCGGGTGCAAGAGCCCAGCGGCCTGGCTAGCAAAGAGCAGCCGCGGCCGCTTATTCTTAGCAATACAGTACAGATGCTAGACTGGGTAGGTTTTGCAGAACAAGGGAGAACCAGTCACATACATGGCACGTGTCTAATGCAAAGTGTGCTAAGCAAGAAAGGAAATGAGGTTTCACAATTCTATCTATATTGAAACAGATTGATCAATAGCTTTTCCTTTCAACAGATCCTCTTCTCCTTTTGAAATTAACTTTTTTTCTAACGAGTAAGGAGTGATAATGGTTTAGAAACTAGCCCCGCCAGTTAAAAAAAAAAAAGAGCTAAATATTCAAAGAAGTCTGTTGGAATGCATACAAAAAGGAAAGAAGAGACATAGCTAATCAAAAATATTTTCTCTTGCTGGGCTAAAAGACCAGATCTAGGTGAGCTTTGATTCATTAGTCACCTAAAAAAATACACAAGAGTGTGGGGGATGTAATGATTTTGCTACAAAAATTGCCCTTGTGAAACGAATTAATTAATGACATCACTACCACCACCCTCATATTCCCAGATCTAAAACACTATCCTTTCTTTTACTCTTGTTTTTATGTAAAAATACACTCGGCTCACACATTAGTATGGTTGTTTCATGAAATTGTTAATAGAGGAGATGGGGAGCAACCAGAGATATATCAGAAGATGTCTGCTTTTAAGTTAAAAGTATGCAGAATGTAAAAGTCAGCACTGCCTCCTATAGGGCAGATCTCTATCATCTATGTGTTATCTAACATAATCAAATCTATTTGTAGAAGTAGGCAACAAGAATGGTCGCTTCCTGGTAGCAGTACCATAGTACTTTCATTAGGAACAATTTAAATGGCTTAGTTGATCCTATTAGAGGCATTATGATTATTGCTTTATATTGTTTAAGGGAGAAAATATTTTGGTAACTTATTTCCTCAAACCAGAGGGCCCCTTGTATGTGTTTGTCTTACTGCACAACTTATACAAAATGTTATCAAGCTATTGGATTGCAGCAAAATCTCTAGATGGTATGCCTAATTCAAATGGATTCTAAATTCTTTATGCTATTTTCCCCAGCATAAAGAACTCTTTTATTTTTAAGAAGGCTCATGTCATGTGAATATATAAAAGATTTTGAAATTTGATTCCTTTGGTGGATGGGAACTAAAATGGGAAAATGGCCTAAAATGTTTCATCCCATACTTAATGAAGCAAAGTTTTAATATGCTCTGTACTAAATCATATAACACTTTGGTTCTGATTTGGTTATTAACTGCTTTGTACCATTTATTCTTTTAAATGGCAATCTCTTAGTTTTTCCATTTCCAACCCAAAGAGTCATTCTTGGAGGTATTACTTCATATATTCATAACATCCTATTTGATGCAGCTAGGAAATCTTGGAAAATGAATGTAAATATTACTCAGTGCTAACACTTTTTCCTGCGTTAAGCTATTAAGAACATTTAAGTGATGCCACAGTAGGAAATTCTCCGTGTGATGTTAGGCTGAATACCATCTATGTTGAATATCCTGAAACAGAATGCTTATTATAGCTGTGGGCTGCATGTATCTTCTGGAAACTGGCTACACTAGTAAATTGTGTTTGAGTCACAAGCCAGTGTTGTTCTTGTTACGTTTTTAGCTCAGTCTGAATGTTCACAATGAACTAATGAAAGAACCTTGAAGCTTCTCCCAAGGGTTTTGTCTGTAAGTGATGTGGGAGAGGACTCACTGTTGTGTGGAATCAAGTTTCTAAGTGGGCCTGGACTCAGGCAGTCTGTTGAGATAAAGGCATGAGTCAGAAAGCTTGTCAGCGAACAGTGACCACAAATGCAATCCTGCTCTTCAGAGAATACTTTTACTGCTGAGTGACATAATTCTTGTCAACTGCCCCCGTTGCCAATATTTTTGAAAGCTTTCAGCATTTGTTATGTCACTGTCTCTGATGCACCACTCATAATAGGAGGTTTTTTTTTAATTTTACGAAATGGTTTGTTCACTGATTTTAAAAGTTGCAATTGAATGTAGGACTGGGTTTAGGTTAACAGTCACAAAAATCTTTAAAATTCACTCCTCGATCACCTCATTGGCAAGATTGTTGCCTTACATAGATAAATCATACATATTTTATTGTGAAAATATTGTTTTTTGAAAAGGCAGTACATCTTTAAACTAAACTATGCTCGCCTCCCCTATTGCAAGCAATGATTTCCCATGATAGAGGTTGTAGGCTTTTTGCCACTTTCCTGTGCCTAGAATTTTAATCATTCATAGTGAAAAGGAAGAATCTCTCTTTTGCAAATGAGTAATGCAGTATTAGTGGAATTAATAGCATATAATAGAGTGCAGCCATCAGAGGAGTGCACACACAGGGAGAGCTAGAGAACTGGATGAAAAGGTGACTCATATTAAGAATGGTTGGCAAATCTCCTGATTCCCTATGGCTTCTGGGTTACAACTTATCTGTTGAGCCCTCTGATCTATCCAAGAGAAATGAGATAGGCTAGTGTCTTTGTTTATACCCCTGAAAATAGGGGTATAAAAATTGACATAACACTTAAGTGAACTCTAACCCTCACCTCCCCGCTCCCATATATGAAGTTTCAGAAGATTAAAAATGAGGGAAATCAATTGAGGGGGAATATTTTTGGAGCAAAAGTTAAAAAGATTTAGCTGCTTACATTACACATTGGGAGATTTGTAGGGTCCATCTTGATGACAGAAATACACAGAGCTGAGAACACACAATAGTTTGGTTCCTTTTTCAACATTCTGAGCTATAATAATAAACCTCTTTCTTTGTCCTTACTAGGCTTATATGATCACTTTTAGTCAGGATAAGCTTGAATTTAAAAGATGGAAACACAATGTTTTTACACTGGTCGAACTGAATGCTATTTATAAAATCCTCTGAAGCCGGCAACAGCTTTTCCTTGAGTTTTGCTTGACTTCCTGTTTTCTCTGTATTTTCTCTTTTAAATTCCTATTGAAAATGTTTCAGCATGTACCAACCCAAGGGATAAATAACAGCAACAGAAATTTGGGGGTATAGAGCTATAAGATAATAGCTCTAAGTATGTTTCCTTAAGCAATGTCCCCTAATTTAAAGTAGGACTGTTGTGACATCAGACTTCTACTAGCAAAATGGGGTGATTTCTTCTCCAACCTTCCTTTCCTGGTCTCAGAATTTATTCTTGAGTGTGAATGTATGGAGGATTCTAGAGAGGTGTCCCCCTTTTCTCATTTTGTCACTGGAAATCATTCTTATAAATGAATAAATAACAAAAATCCACCCTAATGCCCTGCAGATATATCACAGTTGAGGCTAGTTTGAGGCATACTTGATATACAAACTTATCCTCTTTATATCAGTATCCATGCTCTAAGCTGCATCTTAGACAGATATATTTAGTTTTCATTAATTGTGTAGTAAATTTAGAAAATCTATTTTTATACTGCAAAACTACTCACCTGGGGCTATTTAGTTGTCTGAGCCCATCACAGGGTTTCATTAACTTTTATGACTCTTAATGGATCCATTTAATTTGCCAAGAGGCAAAGAAATGGAAGTGTTTAATCAACGCACAGCAGCCTCTCAATTTACATTTTCTTAAATGAATAAAAGCATAAAAACATCTGAAGGAAACATTTGGAAATGCCAAATTTTATTTGCAATTTTTCTCTTTAATTTTGAACTGCTTAACTCTAAACGTAGATTCCTGCTCTCTTTTTTTTTTTTCTTTGTAATGGAAATTCTTAATGTGATAGGTACTATTACAGGTTCAGAAAAAATGATGATCCAGCAAAATTGTGCACCATACCTTGGCTTTTTAAATTTATATCTCTGTACTTGTATTTTTTGTCTTTAGGAGGGTATGAAACCTTTTACTCACAATATCCAGAGTTCTGTGTAGATGTAAAACCTGTATCCCAAGAGAGGATTGAAACTGAGAAGAGCATCAACGGCTTGCATGAGAAGCAGTGCATCCACCAGAAGCCAGCATATGATCAGGTGTGTTTAGAGGAAGAGAAGGCTAATGCGATTCATGCTCAGGATCCTTGGGGGCTCTTCCTGGCATCAAGCTCTTCATAACTCAATTTACTCCTTTATTCAGATTTGGTGATGTGAAAAAAGGAGTCAATACAGAGAAGAGACTGGGATAGGTCCTGCATCTTTGCAGACAAATGGTTGTAAACAGTCTCAAGAATAGATGGGGAAATCCACATAAGCGTAGTCCAACAACATTCCCCTCACCAATTTCTTGGCTAGCTATAAATTTTAAAGAATTAAAGCCAGTATCTTATAACTCTAGATATTTCACTGGGATGTCAGCTTCTGGGACAGTATTAGAAGATTGGTAACACTAGTATGTTCTTTTAAGCTCCATTACAGTTTTAACCAAGCACCATGGTAAATATATAAAAAGGAAAAGCACCTAGACTGGCAATGAAAAAGAGCAAAGGGACTGAAATTTTACTAGGCCCACCTAGAGTTACAAAATAGTGTGTGAATGTTCTTATTTCAAAGAACTGTCCATGAGGCAAGACTTTTAGAAAACGAAAAAAAGGAGGAGGGGATTAAACAGGGCTGCCTCCATGTTTACAAAAAATGCAAAATCAACTTTTTATTTAGTTGGATTGTGTATTTTCAAAAATGGGAAGAAAAATTGTTGCTCATTGCAGCATATTGATAATCTCAATTTCCCTGGAGGAATTCAATTTCGCTATTTTAAGAGGAAAATGCCATGAAATGTTAAAGTAGAATATTCTTTGCAGAACTACCTGTTAATGATAGACAGTTACCAATGGCAAATAGCATAAAAGAAGTTTTCATTAAAAAAAATTACTCTCAGGACAATTCCTGTTGGATTTCAGAAGAAGACAGTGAGAATATAGCTAGTTCATACAAAACATTAACTAGGGTTAAGATGGGGTTAGGTAATTTGTAGTTCAGTGTGTTTCAGGACCCAGCTATTGTTTTAGCATATTGTATAGACCACATTAAACTATCTTATGTTATACTTTAAGGCTGAGTAAGGATTTGATCCTGCTTCCCCAATCTTGGCCTAGCATTCTGGCCATTATTTTGGCTTGACCACATCTGGTGGACCTTTGTTTTGTTCCTGACCTTGCTCAGTTTGTGGATGTGATTCCTAAAATATTATTTAAAAGTCAAAGTATGGGCCAATCCCTAACAACCAGGGCTCTGACTTTCTGGTCACCAACATTCAGCCATAAATGTTTCTCAAAGGAAGACTGGCATGGTCTTGTTTCATCTCCTAGTGGAATTCTGGTCCATCATTCATCCACAGCGAAAGTTGAACATCTGATGTAGCAAAGCGATGAGCACTCTTCTCTGCCCTTCCCAATGTTCATGTTCTTCAGATTCAGGCTAGGGATAGCATTGTGCACCGTGGCTGCCACCCTGACATTTTTTTTTATTAGGCATGGGTGAAAAAGATATTTTGGTAAACCCAGTCATATGATGTTATATATGCCTTTTCCCCTTTCGAATGAAAGACATGGATGGATCCTTGTTATCTATGAAGCTTAGTCATTGGCTCAGTATTTCTAACAAGCTATATGTCTATATTAGGATGCTGCTATTAGCAACAGCCTCCAAATCCCCTTTAAAAAGTGCTGCCTAACTGTAGCTTTTAATATGGTTGGAGGGGAAAATTATTAAATATGTAGTGAGTAATCATATAAACTTAGTTTCAGTTTCAATTTATTATGATCAAAGATCAGCCAGTCATATTTAATTTAATTTAATTTAATTTAATTTAATTTCATGCAAGTTAAACTTAGTTTTTCCTTGGTCCCACCAACGTCTTTGGCCTAATCACCCACTTTGGGAGAGTGGCCACTATATACCATTTAGAGTTTAGTGCAGCCCCTGGTTTAAAAACTGGTTTAAAAAGTACTAGATTTCTGATCTATGACTTCTGGAACAATGGCTTTTCCTACCTATCTGCTACAGTCATAATAAAATGGATCTTGTAGAATGAAGGGAAGGGTAAAGACCTTTGGAAGGTGAAAAAACTAGCAAGTGCCAAAACAGCAACAGTAGGGTTGAGCACCTCTGATAGTAACTTCCACCTATTGCAAAACCTTTCACCCTCAGTACCACAGTTGTTCATCACAGGGACATCTAGAAGAGGTCCAAAATGCTTCACAGAAATTTGTCACAACTACCTATTTTCTTGAGTTTATTAAATAAGAACCATCCAAAAAATCTAGAATAAGAATAAGAATCTTTTTTCTCTTTATCTTCCAGGGTGGCCCAGTGGAAATCCTGCCTTTCCTATACCTTGGCAGTGCCTATCATGCTTCCAAGTGTGAGTTCCTCGCCAACCTAAACATTACTGCACTCTTGAATGTCTCCAGAAAGAGTTCTGAACCCTTTACCAATCAATTCTGCTATAAATGGATTCCAGTGGAGGATAGTCATACAGCAGACATCAGCTCACACTTCCAGGAAGCTATAGAATTTATCGGTAGGTGGCTTTTTCTCTTTCTCTGTTTCTCTTGCAAATGAAGAATAATAACTGTTGAATTATCAAAGAAAGTCTCCTCTACTATGTTCAGGCTTCAAAACCTCTTCCCCTTTCCAGGGGCATTTTAGAGGATTGTGAGTTTTTCAAAATGGTTTTGTACAGGTTCCGTGGCCATAAATAGCTCCTCTTTTAATTGCTGTGGTGGTTTTTATGGTTAAAACCATAATCCTATATCTACGTCCATGGAAAGCTAAGGTCACTTGTACTTTGCTTACCCTGCCTGTTACTTTTGTTTTGTTTTGGGTTTTTTGTGATGGTTTTTTTGGCTATATCAGTATATTTTTGATTATTTCTTGTTATTCATTCTGTTGTGTGCCATGAGATGGGTGAAGAAAGGCAAAATATAAATATTTTAAATAAATATTTCCAGAGAAATACCTAGTTCAAATCATACTAGCAAAAACAGTCTTATGGTGCAGCAGATTTCCTAAAAGTGCTTTGGGCATTTTGGGAAACAAAATACATTGTACTGAGATAACTAGGCCTGCAGGCTGCCCTCGGTTCCTACATTTCCTGTGTGTGCAAGCCCCTTACTCTTTCCATCCCTGGCCTCATGTTTTCATAATGCAGCGCTGAGCATTCTAACTGGAGAATGAATGGCATATAAATTTAATCATAAATAAATAAAATAAAGTGTATTGCAGCAAGTGGGAGGTGTGAAAGAAGTGAAGACTGAAAAAATGGTTGGTACAGTATACACAGAGGATACAGTAGGTGGCTGTCTATTGAGATATGTTGAGCTTTTGTGTATTTTCTGGAACTCTTTGAGTAGGTTCTTGTCAGGTTTGTTTCTACAGGAGAGTTAATCTTTTCTAGCTGCTTTTAGCTGGTGCAGACACATTATATACATAAACAGCACAGAGATAAAAATCATAAATGGTAGGATCAGATAGCTAGACATCTGATAAATTTGTGCAAAGCTTAGGTAACCACATACGTAGGTATCTCAGTGGATGTTCTGGAGAAGAGGAAGATGTCATTCATTAGACATAGGGAACTGGCATGTTAACATACAGTTAACATTTTGATAACAGTTTTCTATTAATTAAAGAACTGCCAAGGAAGTTCTAGTGTAAAATTATGGTGAGGTCTATGCCATTTGGAAAGTTTCAACAGCCCCTGAATAGGAATTGCCTTAGGGCTATGAGAAGTTTGTAAAATTGGCAGGATTGCTTAATGGCAATTTGTTTATCCATGGGCCATAGAGCTCAGTTCAGTTGTTTACATAAATTGTTTTAAAATGATGGATTAATCTTTGGGTATGATTATTGAAATATATTGTTTCTGGCTTTTTGAAGGAAAAATTCTAACTTGTCCCCAGCTAAGAAGCCACCCATTCAAATCTTACCCCTACTAGTAACTTGCTAGGTAGCGTTAAACAACATCTCTTGCTCTCTGCCTCAGCCTTACCCTTCAGTGTGAGATACTATCTTATTTAACAGGCTTTACTTAGTTATTATAAATATAATTACTTACCCTTTGAGTTTCAGAAGTTCTCCCCATCTTCCCACAACAGCCCTATGAAGTAGGGTGGCTCAAAGTCACCAGTGAGTTTCAAAGATGAATAGTGATTTGAAGCTAAATTTTTGCAAGGACTGATTACTGAGACTTCTAAGAACTTTACATGCCAATGCCTGTTCAGACAATACTATGTACTAAACAAGTGAAGGTTCCTTGCTTTAAAATTAAATGCCTTCTGTAGATGCTTCAGGAAACTTTGTAATAACAGTTACAGAGTACATGACTCTGGGCGGAACATAGCACAGCCTGTAAATCTAACAGGTTTCACGATAGGATGAAACTTGGAAATTCATTTCTTAGTCGTCTAAAGCAGTTCAAGTTCTATTTTTAATCCTTGCATTTTATACAAGGAGCTTATTTTCAGCATTTTCTTTTTAATCTTATAACAATAATTGAATTGTGTGAGTAACCTTGGGGCCTCCCATTGCGTAAAATGGTAGCTCTGCCTAAGCCATTTATAGTCTGATTTAAGTCCAAGTGCCACTTATCAAGGGTTGTAATTAGAGATTTTAGGCTAGTTTACTGTGCAGTTTGTGGTGGAAACTCCAGGAGCCCAGGGCTTGACATCTCGGGTTCGAAATGCATGCAGAACGTCTACCACAAAGATCTCACAGGGTGAGGAAAAAGGCACCGCCTTCCATGTTCCTAGTGAGCAGGGAAATACACTCATCTCCATCTGCTTAGCGGGGGTATGTAACACTTTCTACCACAAAGATGTGTTTCTTATAAGAAGAATCAAACTGTTTCAGTTCTTTTCTGGAACTGTAGCGTTCATTTTATTAAACACCTGCTGCCATAATTTGGCTAGATTTGGCAAGGGTGAAAGGAAGGAGCAAAGCCTTTTTATCTACCATGTAGTTGTTAATTTTGTGTAAATGTCCCCAACAAGAACAAGGAGAAATTACTTTCCTGGTATTCATTTCATCTTTGACATACTTCTGAGTGTCCATCCATCCAGCATTCTGAAATGAGTTATAAAATGAAATGTAGGACACCCTTTGCCTCATGGCATTTGTTTTATTTCTTTATTAAACAATTTTATAGGGCTGCCCACCTTAACTAAAGTAACTCTGGGCAGTGAACAAAAAGATATAAATAAACAAACAAACAAACAGGAACCAATTTTAAAAAAACAGTCAAGGCCACACACATGCTGGCTCTGCTAAGATCCTGACCCCAACACCTGGGGGAAAAGCCAGATCTTCAAGGCCTTCTGGGAGGCCAATAGGATCAAGGCCCTCCAAATCTCAGGCGAATATTGTTCCGTAAGGCAGGAGCCATGACATGGTGTGCTACCAGTAGAGGCATTCACTCATAGTGATTGCAATAGCTTCCATATTTAGTCCATTTTATTTCTTCCTTCCCAGATTGCACCAGACGGGCAGGGGGCAAGATCCTGGTGCACTGCGAAGCAGGGATTTCTCGCTCTCCCACCATCTGTATGGCTTATCTGATGAAAACGAGAAAATTTCGCCTGGAGGAAGCATTTGACTACATCAAGCAACGGAGGAGTCTGATCTCACCAAACTTCAGTTTCATGGGGCAGCTGCTGCAGTATGAGTCAGAAATTCTGTCTTCAGCTCCTAGCCCTCCTGTTACATCTTGCAAAAGGGATGCTGTGTCTTTCTTCACAGAAGAGCTGGCTTTGAGCAAAAGTTTTGCCTTTCCTACCTCGGTTTTGAATTCAGTGCCCTTGCACTCGCCTGTCCATCCACTTACATTGAACTCTATTGCTGCAAATTCATCATGCTGGGCCCTCTTGGGAACAAGAGACAGTGCAGTTCCATGAGTGAGGTGATGATAACAAGACATTTCATCTATACGCAATACAGAAGCCCTTATTTATTTCATTCAGATCCAGACACTGGAGTGACTGTCTACATCAGAAGAGAAAATATGCTTTTATGTTGAGGTGGAGTGGAGATGAGTTTGGTGCATTGAAGTTTGGGCCAGCTATGCAATTTCAAGTTATCGTGTGCTAAATTTAGCAAACTCCAGGTTTTAGCTCAGATAATCTGAGGACTATACTTAGAACATGGAGATATTGTTCCCAGAAGTAGATGCCCTTCACTCTGGATGAGAACTTCCATTCTATAGACCCTGGATAGGCTACTGTTTTGAAAGAATAAATCTCTTCAGAGGAAGATAATGTGTGCATATTTATGAGTGTTTTTAATAATTTCTGAAATATTTGTGCATTCACTACTGTACATCCAGACCTTCCTGGAGCAGAAAGAACCACATTTTTTAAGTCACTCAGACCTGTCTGATTGCTTCTTAGTTCCTGCCTCCTTCCCTCTCTCTTAATTATAGACTTGTGTTAAAGTGTAAGCAATAAACAGCTGTGTCAGGAAAAAAAAGCTGTAACAAAAAGCACAATTTACAAAAGAGCAAACCTTGATATTACTTGGTGGTGGTGGCAAAAACTTGAATGCATGCTTTTTTTCCCCCTTTCCTTTGTGGGTTCCTAACAATGTCATAATCTGCCATATGCAAGTGAATTAGAAAACTGAGAAACAAATGTCTCTCCTTTCCGTTATCCACCAGTCAGCCTCCATTGTTTGTTGCTGAACTACTGAGTTCAAGATTAAAATTGGATCCTTACTTGAATGCCTCTGCTACATGCTGTTATCAGCAGAACAAACTAAATTTGGGAAGCAATTTCTAGTTAAGCTAAGGCTGCAAATTCATTTCATTCTCCAACTCAGTCCAGTCAGAGCTGACTTTTCATCTGATGTCCTTCAGATATTTTCAACTACAACTCCTGTTATCATCAGCCAGGATGTCCAAGGGATAACCTAGTGTTCTCTAAATCCTGTATTTTATTCCTTGCTCTACAATAATTGCTCTTTTCAAAAGACAGTGCATTGAGTTTGTCATAATGCTAAACTATAACACAGCTGTTTGTTTTTCACTCAGTGTGCTACTTGAGCATACCCACTGTGGCTTAGCATTACAACAGGGCTCTGTGGGCTGTTTGGTAATAAACCACAATTTGAAAAAAACTTAGCTTAGTGTTAATGTGTGAACAAAGCCATTTTGTTTTGCATATTTCATTGTTACATAAGGGATACCCACAACACCCTACTTCAAGCATTAATCTTAAGATACTACTAGAAAGCCTTGTCAGTTCTAGAAGTGGCAATATAGCATACCTTTCTTTTTGTCTACCTTAGCCACCAAATAACAACAGAATAGCAGGGTGATAGCTACAATTAGCTATTAAAAATACCATATTGCCAAATTCCAGCCTGGCTGAATTAACAAGGGGGAAAGTGGGTGGAATTCCTGGGGCCTCAGAACATCGTTGAGGACTGGGGGCTGCCCACATAGCGTATTCTCTAAGGTATTTGTTCCTGGAATCTGGTGGTAGAAAGCCTAATGTTTCACAATGAAGTTGGACTTGATTCAGAAGACTAAAATGCTGCAAATTGATTGCATATTAGTCTCTGGGTCATGTGTAAAGCATACTTTTGAAGAGGTTGCTATATGTAATATCTGACAGCTATACTCTAAGCTCTTGATTTTTGCTCATGGAACTGGACATGAGGGGGCAAATGATATCAAAGCAAATATTGTAACTGAACAGACAATCCCATAGCAAATTGTTATATAAAGGAGTGTTTTGGAATTTCTAACTTTGTTCTGTGAAAATGTATTTTTATTTGTACATTGCAATTTGCATTTATGGATTTTTAGATTTAAAAAAAGGAGGGGGGGAGAAAGGCAGCCTGATGAACGATAAATCTCCCCCAAAACTGAATGACAATACTTACTGAATGACATGTGGATTGGTGTTCCTTGTGTTGATTTCTTCCATGTCATATTCCTGACTGTGGAATTATCTATTTCCTAGCAATGGGGACTAAAACAACAACAACAGGCAATCTATATATTTAGTGTGTGTCTCTGCAGGTGGCTCCATGTTCTGCTGTTGCTTTGTCCTGTCATCATTATTTTTTCTAAATAGGGGAAAAGGCAAGAATTGCTTAGAAAACTTGTGAATGTGAATTAAAACAATTTTTAAATAAAATGTTAAAAAAATGTTTTGTTCCACAGACTGCATGCAGTGGCAGGTAATTTGTGAAAATACTTGCATTAGGTTTCAGAATGCAGTTTCTCTAAAGGCTGACACGTTGACAAAGATATAAAACCCATAGAACAGTGGTGGGATATAACTGTATTTGCTCTGAGGAAGGGGAAGTATACAAGTGAGTTAAACATAAAATAATATTCATGCCTCTTTCAACAGGGTACACAACTTTTTTTTGTGCTAAAGGCTACATTAATCTTTAGTATGCCAGAGGTTGCCTTCCAATAAGCAGAGAGGGCTGGAACAAAACATAAATTAGATTTAATTTGAATTAAAGTTCAGATTATATTAATTCAATATAAGTAACTAATGACTGTAATTAATAAACCACTGTGGGCTGGTTTTGTCACAATGTGATCAACAAATAATATTAGTCCCTTTGCCATTAATCATTTCTCACATCTGTCACATTAAAAACTACAGTGTGATAACTTTTGGAAGTGATTTGGGGTTGTAGCCAAAGATTGGAAAGATATGCTGATCAGGGTACTGGAATGTTCAGCCCAATTCTCCCAATTAAATCAAAATGCTAATTAGAGTTCCAAATGCATTAACTATCATGGCTGCATTTCCTAGAATGCTGGGACTAGCAACAATTAAGAAAGGAGTGATAATCTCCTGAAAAAACAACTTCCCACCTCAAAATTAGCATTTTTAAGATAATTTTTCTTACAGAAATGTACCTGTTCCCCCCCCTCCCTTTTTTTTTGGTGCCTTCAAGTCAATCTTGAGTCCTGGCGACTGCCTGGACAAGCCCCTGCAGTTTTCATGGCAAGATTTCAGAAGTGGTTTGCCATTGCCTGCTTCCTAAAAAAAATATTAAGTTTTATAAATGAAGAAATAGTTTTGGTGATTAAGCCACCTTATAACAGACTTTAAAACAGACTATACATGTGTCTTTATTTAATGGGAGGGCTTATGTTTAAAATGTGTTGCATTTTTGGGAATAAAGCACTGGATCAGTTCTTTTCCTCTGCCCACTGGATCAGGAAATGTATCCAATTGTCTTCATGCTACCTACTCTTAAATAATATGAATTTATTAATACAACTCAGTACTTTTCAAACCACATTTCCTAATGTAAAAATGATTGCAAAAGATTAAAAACTTTCAATCAAGGGTGGGAAAAATCTGTTTATGTCATAAAAGACTGAGCTTCTCAGAGTGATCTTCCGGGGCAGCTCCTCAAGTGGGCAGAGCGAGAAACAGTGCATATGAAATGCAGGACAGCCCCTCAAGATCATTTCCTCAGTCTGCTCCAAGTATCATCCATTGCAATGGAATGAAGTTCAGAATACTGTTTTCCATCAGAAAGAGTACCTGCACTTTCGCATATTAAGCCATAGGGGTTTGTTTTGAACTCCTATTATTCTGTGGTCCTTTATTTTTGGCTTTACATCTAAAAATTAGGCAGCATTCAGCATGAATTACTTCCCCTCAATCTATCAAAACATCCAAGGGGATATTTTTAAAAATGAGCAACATTTTTAAAATGCCAAAGGAAATCTGGAAACAAGTTAAAAGCACAATTTTTGCAGCACAACACCACGCTGAGCCTAACAAGAAGCACTGTATTCCCTTCAACGTAGCTTAAGAAAAACAGCATCTGGTGTGCGTATGCATCTGTGTACTGTATTTTGAGAGGTTTTGTGTTAATGCACATTAGTGCATAGATTACTTTTTTCTATTATGGACCTGGATTCAGCCCAGCAAGAAGTAATGTCTACCATCAATAAGATTCTATTCAACACAGCCCATGATGAATAACAGCAAAATAAATAAATAGATAAATAGCACTTATTTTTGATTGTAGCTTCTTTTCATACACATGAGTACACACTTTTGCATGGCTGTCTTGCAACAGCTCTCAAAGCAATCCCGCCCCCCGCCCCCAACTCAATTTGGCAATTCATTAAGTGCCTCCAAAGGAACCTCTGACTAGAAGTATATATACTTTTACATTTCAGAATGTCAACCTGCCAAACTTCAACACTAAAGCAAACACATCATTCATTCATATTCCATTCAAAAATAGAATGAAACTGGAATTGGGCAGAATGAGATCTCTCTTGTGTGCAGGCAAGAGGAAAGAAGAGCGTGATTAAAGGGAAACTTGCCTCATGCAGAACAAATCCCAACTGCTAGCATAATTTTTATTTACCTAAATATATATATGGACTCTATCACATGGGACTCTATCACATGAGCAAGGAGAGCAAAAGATAAGGTGTGTGATGACATCATAATGTGAATGCCACAGCTTTTGTACTTGCATCAAACATAAGGAGGCAAGTATGCAATGATGGCATTTGCCTGACAACATCTCTGCGCACTCTACATCATTCTGGCACCACTTCAGTTTGCTGCAGTTCATGCTGGCCTCACAGACATTCTTAGAAAATAAAACTGATGAGTAACCAGAGCCTAGTGTTTTGACAGGGTGCAAGAAAATCCATATTCGGGGGGAGGGGCTGGGGAGGGAGACAAGCATCCTGTGGAGGGAAAGCTAGAAAGGATGGCAAAGAACAACCACACCACAACCTCAATGCAGTGATATTTTTTAATTGGCCACATCCCTCTTCATAGTTATTTTGTGAGTAATGGGAACCATTGGGGAAAGCATACACAATGTGATTTCAAAAACTTAGATAACTGAGAAAGCCAAAGAATACCCAAAATAAATCACTATGTGCTTCATTGATTACAGAAAGACCTTTGATTGTGTCAATCATGTCAAGCTTGGAAAGTGCTCAGAAAAATGAGAATCCCAGAACATCTCATTGTCCTCATGAGAAACTTATATACAGGTCAGAAAGCCACAGTATGGACAGAACTTGGCAAAACAGATTGGCTCCAGGTCAGCAAAGGAGTGCGACGAGGAGAGTGCACACTGTCTCCTTATTTATTCAACCATTATGCTGAATGTATACTGTATTAAGGGAAGCTGGACTGGAAGAAGGTGAGTGTGGTTTTAAAATTGGAGGAAGAAACATCAATAACCAGTGCTATACTTATGACACTACCTTGATAGCCAAAAATGCAAAGGATCTGCATGGTCTAGTAATAAAAGTTAAGGAGCAAAGTGAAAAAAAATGGGACAAAAATTAAACATAAAGAAGACTGAACTAATGACAGCTGGTAGAACAACCACCCTTAGAACTGACAATGAAGATATCAAGGTGGTAGATAGGTTTCTGCCTTTTAGGATCAACCATTAATAGTAAAGGAACAAGCAGCCAAGAAATACACCGCAGACTAGCATTTGGTAAAGCAGCCATGAAGGCCTTGGAAAAGACATTCAAATATTGTGATGTGTCTATACTTACAAAGAACAGAATCGTGCAAGCCATGGTATTCCTTGTGACACTCCATGGAAATAAAAATTGGATTTGAAGAAGCAGGATAGGAGGAGCATTGATGCCTTTAAATTTTGGTGTTGGACATGACTCCTGATAATACCATGGACAGCCAAGAAAACAAACCAATGGATCATTGAACAAATCAACCCAGAGTTCTCACTCGAGGCACAAATGAACAGGCTCAAA